CACAGCCATGTTATCCTAACTTTTGTTTTTCACTTTTTCCATTGGTTGATAGGGAATATTGGAGACCATGGGTGGAACGCTTCCAAAAGTCAAAATACTCACTACAGAGCTTTTGTTCACAGTGCAGTGTGAGAATTCATTCTCAGCTGGCTTTGCCCAGTCAGGGTTTCAGCCTGGATGAGAGCAGAAAGGACCGTTGCCTCTTAATTTCTAGTGTAACCTGGAGGTAAATACCACACTCCAGCTTCTTAAATGCAGGTAGCAGCAGACCAGCTCTTACAAGCACCAGTATTCACCAAGCACTTGACAGTCTGTCCTGATGCTTGGGTCTTCCACTGTTTGATGGGATCACAAGTGACTGCAGTGGGTACCCGAGGGTCTTGGGCTTGCCATCCCCATGAACAGAACAACCTTTTACTGCAGAGATGATGTAGATTTCAGAGCTGAAATCCAAAGCGAAGGCCAATTGAAATGCAGTGAATGTAGGTTTGATTGTCAGCTTTTCTGCGTCTGTCTATCACTGCGTAATAAACACTGGGTGATGGCAGAAATGAAGATAAATGCTTTCAGCAGCCCCCCCTTCTCCCCCCACCGCCCCAATCTCCATCCACCCCCACTCAGCACATGACAAGAGAGTTTAAAGAGTTGGGGGGGGAGTCTTAAAGACTTAAAAAAAAAAAATCCTCAAATCTTTTCTTATAGGCCACCTACACGTGACAGATATTTATCCGTCAGTCTCAATCCCCTCAGAGGGTCCAACTCATCTTGCAATGTGGAGAAATGAACTTTTGCCAGTCAGCTATTGCTCATTTATGAATCAAGCCATGCAAGCCCACATACGAGTTTAGACTGAAAGGGAAAAAAGTGGTGCAAAACCACTTTCCATGGTACTCTGGCACTCCGTCAGTGAAGTGCAGGATACTTCCAGACTACTATGAGACCCTCAGAGGAACAGCTAATACTCTAGAGCTTCACAGGCTTTGGTGTGCAAGCTTCAAGAACATGGAACATCTACATATTATGGGAATTTCGTTCCCATGTATTCAACAGAAACCAGAACTCAATTTTTTTTCTAGGCTAGATCCTTTACTCTTAAGTTTTTAGTATCTGGCAGGTCCCCTCATAGTAAGAGAAAAATTTACTAAGATGCTTACAGATAAGCTTGAGGAAGATGGAGAAGTCCCTGAGCTAATTTGTGACTCAATTTGTGTGATTAGGCCCTGGTATAAAATTCCCCCTAGATTAGTACTTGCATCTTTAAGCATGAGTACCTCTGAAAAGTAATTACCTCTATGAGACCATTTGTAACTGTAGCTAATGATACTGAGGTTATCCTACACTTGCAGAAAGAATCTATCACAGCTGATGAGTTTTAAATTTACTAGTTCTAGATTTAATATAACCCAGGCTCCAGGAAGCACAAAACACGGGACAAATCTATTTGACAAACCAAGCATAAAGCTCTTTGCTGCAAGAATACACCAGATTCCCTCAACTAGTTCTGAAGCAATTTGAATTCAGCTGAAGTGTGATTACTGACCTCTGAAATCTAGTGGAGATGAATAGGTTCTTGCACATTTCTAACCCTAAAGTATTTTATGGGGCAGTCTAGTTTTGAGGACTACCTCTGATCATGGTAAATATATTAAACCCTGAATATGAATCTGATGCGTCTCAGCAAATCTGTTCCAGGCTACCACAAAGACACTACCTTTGAAGTGGCTGAGCTAACTATCTAAAACTGGGATAATGCTGTAGAAACAGTATGCATAGCAACCTGGTATTTTCAAGGATTTATTTTGCTCGTTTTCTAATGCACCAGCAAGCTGTAAATAGGAAGTGGGCAAAATTATTTTCATGAATGAATGCACAAAATGTCACTAAGGATAGCAGCACATGCTAAGCAATGAAGGTATCTTAGATTTGATGTTAACTGAGAAAGCCTCATAGAGGTCTATGCTCTCTGAAGGCTGAACCCTTCAAAAGGCTATTGTTTTTGCTTTAACCCAGATGTACAGAATAAGAAGAAATGCTATTTTCCATTCATGCTTATTTCTATTGCAAAAA